TTTTTTTTTTTTTTTTTTTTTGCCTTTTTCCCCCCCCTCCCTCTGTTTCTCTCCTTTTAAACATGGCTTGGTAGAATAGGCAAATCGACAGAAAGCCAGGAAAAAAAAAAAAAAAATAAAAAAATTTAAAAAAAATTAGATTTCAAAACTCATTCCCCAGTGCCTGCCACTCAGCCATCGGCAATAAAACCAAACAATAAAAAATAAAAAAGGGCATGAAATGAAACTCTGAGTTTTCTTTCGGGTTTTTTTGTTGTTCGTTTGTTTGTTCTCTCGTCTTTTTTGTTGTTTTTCTTTTACCTTTCGCCCCCGAATAAGAAAGAAAAGCCCAAAGATGGGTTAAAGGGTTTCGCTGGGGATGCTCCAGCGCCGGCTCCGCATCCGCCGCGCCAGCCAAGGGTGTCCAAAGCGGGGCAGCCTCGCAATAAATATCTGTGTGTGTGTGTGGGAGGGGTGTGGGGGTCTCTTCCAGCCTGGGGTATCCCTGCTCCCAACCCAAACACTTTCCAAGCCTCTTCCCTCGGCGGCGAGTGGAAAGTTTCGCTTTAAAGTTCGCTGGCGGTGGGGATTTGCCATGCGCTCGCCGCGGGTTTTGTTTGATTTTCCTGTCGCTTTAGGCTTGGTGGGGTGTTTTTTTTTTTGTCGTGGTTGTCGTTGTTGAGGGTTTTGGGGTTTGTTTCTCTCTTTTTTTTTTTTTTTTTTGCTTCTCTCCATTCTGTTTTTATTCGGGTGAGTCGCCTTCAAACCCCGGGTCGGAAACTTTTTACCCTTTTTTTTTTTTAAAAAAAAAACCCTTGTGGCTGTGAGGAGGAGGGAGAGATCAGGGTCGGGCTTGCTCCAGCTGCTGGTGCTGACTCCTGATGGCGAACCTGCTGACGTGCACCGGGATGGGCACCACGATCTTGGGGTTTCGGGAAGGTTCCCCTGTCTTGGAGTTGGCGTTGCCCGCCTTGACCCGTTTCCATTTGGCCCGCCTGTTCTGGAACCAGATTTTCACCTGCACCTCGCTGAGTTTGAGGGCGTGAGCGATCTGGGACCTCTCTGTCAGGGACAGGTACTTTTTGCAGTGGAACTCCTTCTCCAGCTCCAGCAGCTGCTCGCTGGTGAAGGCTGTTCGCCTCCGCCGGTTTTTGCCCGTGGATGTGGTGCTGGCGGAATTGGGGGGGTTCTGGGGGTTTTCCTCCAGCGCGTTGCCAGAGTCCTCTTCCTTGTGAGCCGCCTGGCCGGGGATGTTGTCGTCCGAGCTATAATCGAGATCGCTGTCCATGGAGAAACTTTCCTCCTTGCCTTTCGCGTCCTCCTCCGCTTTGGGATCCTCCTTGCCCTGGCCCCGGAGAGCCCCGGCTGGGAAGGAAGCAGAGGCCTCTCGTTAGCAT